TACATTGTCAACGAACATGAAATGTATTGATTGGTGCTGGTGGTGATGTTGTTAAGTTACCGGGGAGCAACTGGTGAGTTTGAACTATCAATCTTTCAGTTCAAACCAACTTTGCAGTCGAGCACATTAACCCACTGGCACCACTCCAGGACTCTGGAGTATTGATAGTGTCAACTTATTTTTAAGAAATTAGACATCACTAACTTTTAGTCAGTTAACATTAGTTATTAGTTCTTTACCTAAAAAATTCCTTCATTAAAGATTGACTACAAAATTTGTTTCATGCAAGCTTGCATGAAGTTAGATGCTTATATAGCCACATAAATATTTCTCATATGAAACAGTTGGAATTAAAGGGTGAGAAGGAAACATTTCTTCTGTTTTTTTTTTTTGTTTGTTTTGGTTAATTGATTCCAATATTATGAAAATGTAAATGCAATCCTGAGCTTTATCTTTTAAAATTGAAAATCTGTGGCAAATTGTCATCTTGATTTTTAATATTTGATTGTACTAAATTCAAAAGATCCTGTCTCTTTATAGGGAAAATTAGGCCCAGTGGACATTCCTTCCATGGTAGTCTTTATGACTGATAATAATTCCCTTAGAAAAATTATGTATGTTATTAGTTAAGTTATGAAAATGGAAAATTACAGAATGATATTACTCCATTATATTAATTTATATTCTAAATCTGTTATCTCATTTGTGTCTCAGGAAAATTGTCTTAAATTTATTTTAAAAATTCTGCTCTTAGTACAGACTTAAAAGTTTAAAATGGAGTTTTCTAATTGTTCAGAACATTGGAAGTAATTAAATTGATGAGTGATTAAGCTCTACCAGAAAGAGGAGTGGCATTCTAATAAATGAAATAAGAATGGGCAAGGAGAGGTGAACATTTTCAGAATAGTTGAAGGATGGGAAAAGGACTGTGAAAAAGACTAAGAAGAAATATTCAATAAAGGTGTTCAAGTCATAATAGAATTTAAGATGAAATCAAAATTAAATGAATGATCAGCAGTACCGTATAGAACAAAGAAGTCCAGTAACACTAACACAGTAAAAAAGTAAATAGTGCTTTGTAATTTCTGCATCTGAGGATGAACTCACCCATCTAGTTTAAGGGTATAACCTTAGTGCTCAAAGGGGTGAGTAAGCTTAAATGGAAGATGTATAATTAAACATAACTGAGTATAGAATATTTCCATTATTTTCCAATAGACTTTAGCCAAACTAGAAAGACTTTTTAGAAGATTAATGTATTTATCATATCTAAAAATTGAATGGAAGAAAAGAGCATCATGGGGTAAATTGAAGAAATTGAAAGAATTAATTCACTCATTTAATAAATATTTATTGGGAAATTATAACTACCAGACACACAGGTGCTAGAGATGTGTCAATGAACTAAATCGTAAAAATCTCCTTTGCCAAATGAGGAAGACAATCACTATGTGTGATAACTTGGCTGCCCTTCCTCACATCCTTTGTGCCTCACCTCTAATTTTTGCAGTGAGTTTCTCACTTTCTGCCTCTAGGCTTCTCTGAGGGGAGGCAATAGGCAAGTTAAGTGTCGTAGCAAAGGGTGTGGGAGATTTGACATCCCAGGTACAGCCAATGAGGAATGGAAGTCCATGAATCAATACTTCTCTTGGTACACAACTCAGTCAACAATTTCAAGTGTTATTATCAATTCTTCTCAGATTTGCTCTTAGTATTGACTTCCAAGCCAGATTCAGAAGAGGCCGTGGAATAAGGGATATCATTGCTGCTGTCCAATGGATCTTGGCTGAGAGCAGAGAATATCAGAAAGATGTTTATCTGTGCTTTATTGACTATGCAAAAACTTTAGATTGTGTGGCTCATGACAAGCTACGGATAACATTGCAAAGTATGAGTATTCCAGAACACTTAATTGTGCTCATGGGGGATCTGAACATGAAACAAGAGGCAGTTTTTCAATCAGTATATGGGAACACTGAATGGTTTAAAATTAAGAAAGGTGTGCTACAGGGTTGTATTCTTTCACCATACTTATTCAACCTGTATGCTGAGCAAATAATCCAAGAAGCTGGGTTATATGAAAAGAAACATGGCATCAGGATTGGAGGAAGACTCATTAACAACCTGCGATATGCAAATGATACAACCTTGCTTGCTGAAAGTGAAGACGACTTAAAATATTTACTGATGAAAATCAAAGAGCACAGCCTTCAGTATGGATTGCACCTCAATGTAAAAAGAACAAAAATCCTCAACATTGGACCAATAAACAACATTCTTATCAATGGAGAAAAGATTAAGGTTGTCAAGGACTTCATTTTTCTTGGATCAACTATCAACACTCATGGAAGCAGCAGTCAAGAAATCAAATGATTAGGCAAATCTGCTGCACAAGACCTTTTTAAAATGTTGAAGAACAATGATGTCAGCTTGAATACTAAGGTGCATCTGACCCAAGCCATGGTATTTTCAGTAACCTCATATGCATATGAAAGCTGCATAGTAAATAAGGAAGATCGTAGAAGAATTGATGCTTTTGAGTTATGGTGTTGGAGGAGGATATTGAAAGTGCCGTGGGCTGCCAAAAGAACCAACATCCGTTTTGGAAGAAGTGCAGCCAGAGTGCTCCTTGGAGGCCAGAATGGCCAAACTTCATCTCTCATACTTCAGACATATTGTCAGGAGGGACCAGTCACTGGGAAGGTTATCATATTTGGTAAGGTGGAGGACCAGAGAAAAAGAGGAAGACCCCCAGCAAGATGGATTGGCAAAGTGGCAGCATCAATGGGCTCTAGCGTGGCAACGATAGTGAGGTTGGCCCAGGATCAGGCAGTGTTTTGTTCTGCTGTGCATAAGGTCACTATGAGTCAATACCGACTCAATGGAACCTAACAACAACAACAAACTTGCATGGTCTTGTGGTGTGGCACTATAGGATCTGAACCAGACTGCAAACCACAAGATTTGCAGTCCAAACCTTGGAAACACTATAAGGATGGCTTTAAATTGGACCCACCTCAATGACACTTAACAACAACAACAGTGACTTCCATAATGTGCCATATTTTATTGTTTCTTCCTTCTTTCTCTCACTTCTCGATTCCTTCACTCTTGCTCTTTACCTGAAAACAAGATTTTACCCAAACTATGCTCTGGTAGCGTAGTGGTTACGAATCGGGCTGCGAACCTTAAGGTCAGCGGTTCGAAACTACCTGCCGCTCCGCGGGAGAAAGATGAGGCTTTCTACTCCCGTAAGGATTTACACCCTCGGAAACCCTGTACAGGGTCGCTATGGGTCGGTACCGACTCAATGACACTTAACAACAACAACAACATGCTTTGGGGTATGGAGTGTAAATCACAAGACACAAGATAAATGAGGTATATTTCTAGATAGCTATAAATGAATTAAAGGCTATATATTTGTGTGTGTGAGAGAGAGAGAATCAACACTATACACCATTTGAAAAGTGTTGTACGTTGTACATGCATTAACTGATTTAATCCTCTCAATAATCCTGTGAGAAAGAACTATCATCCCCATTGTTCAGATGAGAAAACCGAGGTGGAAAGAGGTCAGGCAGCTTGAATCATATAGTTATACTTCCTTCAAGGCTGAGTTCTGTCACCTATACAATGAGGCTTTCAAGATTATTCTACCCACATAAGACTTTTTCTCATTAGCTCCCTCTACAAGTTGCAATCTCTTTATAAACTGCTTTTGTTTGATGGAATGCAGTTCACTGAAAGTGAATAAAAAATGACGTAAAGTAACACATTCAGATGTATAGACTTTGGTGGTCTATGTTTGTCCAAGAATACTTAAGTGATTTGGTGGTTGTTACTTTTTTGGTTGTTACTCCTCAATATCAGCCTTTTGATAGGAATTGGAAAGATTATGTTTCCTAACTCCTGGAGTTTAGGTTTTTTTTTTTTATTAAACATTTAAAAAAATTTTTTTTTTAAACCTTTTAAATAATAATAAAATAATCTCCTTTAACTGAGCTCTCACAGTCCTTGTAGCTGGGAACTGACCTAGTACTATCAGCACCCTCACACTGTGTGATGTTAGGAGCTTTTCTCACATTCTCAGGCAACGGTGTTCTACAGTTGAACATAAAAATATTCACACAACACTAAATCAGACAAGGTCACCCTGAGACCATGGTGAATCAAGACATGTCTGAGCACAGATAAAAACATGAATTTTTTCCAAGCCACAAAAATGACCAAACATCTCTTAATCCTGTCTAATATGAGCGATTGCTGTTTCTTTACCTATCACAGCTTTAGCCTCTGTCTGCTCTTTCTTTCTTCTCAATAAGATTTATTAAGTTAAGTGAGCATAGAATTACCCCTGCTTTGTTACAGCATGCACTCCAGAGCAAGGGAGTGTGGTGGTTACATTGGATAAGCAATGGACTGGCAACCATAAGGTTGATGGTTTGAGCCCACCAGCTGCTCCACAGGAGACTGATGAGACTTTTTGCTACCGCAAAGATTTAAATCCTTAGAAACCCCATGCAGGGTTTCTGTGAGTGGGAACTGATGAAAAGACATTTAACAACAACAATAACAACTCAGAGCAAAACCTTGCTTCCTCAAACCTTTCCTCAAATTCTTCAGATCACTTAACACAAGCCCAATGCACTAACACCTTCCCATACCCTCTTACTGAGTGGCCAGTGGTACCCTATCGTGTGTATTCTCCCTACTGCAGTGATCAGTACTCATTGTGGTCAACTACAGGTGTGTTCCTGTTGGTCTTTGGCCAGAAAACGTTGACTCATTCTTGTCTGCTCCTAATATTTGATATTTCTCTATATCGTTTCCCTCATATATCTTATTTCCCACTTCTTGTGGGCACTAAAGTTATCTCCTTTAAAACATATGTGAGTGTCTTGTGAGCTGCTTAATTAACTTTTAATTGATCCGCTAATTGATTGATAACTGATTTTTCTAATTGAACAAATATTCACATATTTATTTTTCTTCCTTAGGAGCCAATTACTATTTCAGCAATGGAGCTTTCTACAAAACAGGTATACTCGCTAAGTATTACAATCTATTGTGTATCTTTTGTTATTTTTGTCTTTCAAATATTGTGATTTTCAGATATATTTATCATCTCTCAAGTTTTATGGATTTATTAATACTATAAAATTAATACGGTTCATTAAGTAACTTTATAGTATTAATACTGCTATTTTTTTGGTGGTGTGCTGTAGGATCGGCACTGGAGTGTGAACCACAAGGTCGGTGATTTAAACCACCAGCTGCTCCTTGGAAACCCTTTACAGGGTCACTATGAGTTGGAACCAACTCAATGGCACTAAACAGCAACAACAAATACAATGAAAACCAACAATAATTGTCATTGCTCCCCTTGCTTTTGATCAATTTCATATGGCCAAACATTATAACATATGGTTTTGGATAATCTAAATATGAAATATACTTATAAACATATATCACAGATTATTATTTGTTGTAAATATTTATTTATAGAATTTATATGTGGTCATTGTAATATATTTTCCAATGGTTGTTTTCTTCTATTCTGATTCTTTATATTCTTTCTCTGTTGCTTCCTTTCTTTCCTTTCCTCCCTCTTTCTACACACACATATACATTTAAAAACATACATCAATAAAACATTAATGAACATTTCAAACTATAAATTTATAATTTCATTATTAAGTTTTTAATTAGATATAAAAACTACACTTTGTAGGCTATATATAATTTATGTACTGGATTATACATATTTGGAGGAACTTGAAAATGTTGATTTTATGTTTTCAGTAGTATTGTGTGCTAGAGAAAAATATATGGCTTTAAGTCCTCTCATTCAGATTTAATGGATGGTTTAGCAAGACACATAAGTAGAACAAATGACTTTGCAATGCTACATGATGTTGGCAAAATAGATATAGTTTCAATTCTAATAAATTATATTGCCCCAATATGTTGCCGTTGTTGTTAAGTGCTGTTGAGTGGATTCCAACTCACAATGACCCTATATAGTGTTTCTGAGGAGAAACTGGTGAGCTTGAACTGCTGAACTTGTGGTTCAAACTGACTTTGCAGTCCAGTGCATTAAACTACAGTGCCACACCAGGATTCCTTTCCCTGATATAAATTCTATAAAATAAATGTAGATTCAAAGCTGCCTAATTATTGTGTAATATGACATTAAGAAAAAAAATCCAAAAGGAATAGGGCAACTCTCACTATATAGTAAAAACTTACATATAAAATTATAAAATATATGAATCATTTGATTAATTTTATTTCTGAACTGTTTATGTTTGTTTCTGACCAGCTTTATCACCTAAAATATGGTGCCATTAAATTTTAATGTGTATCCTTTTCACACAGATATTTCAAAATAGATTGATAATCTCCATGGTATTTAGAGAAATTCAGAGTGCAGATACTATTACCCTTTTACTGTTACCTTAAACGTCCTAAGTAGGTGTTCATCTGTTCTTATAATCCAAAAGTTGTCAGATGTTGGCAAGGAAATCTAGGGTTTTCAGAATGGAAGCTAGATGGGGATATCTTTTCCCATAATGATTTTAAAGATCATTTATTTATTCTTTGCCTGACTTCATCGTTGATCTTAATTACATTACTTCCATGACTATTTTTAAAGAACAGTTCTTTCTGCCGTAAAATTAGTAAAGTTACCTAAAAACTATTGAATATTAAATGCAATACAATTTATCATCAACAAAACCAGTGTGTCAATTTAAAATATCAGGAAGTTTGTAGAAGAAAATTTCCATAGCCCTCATTGTCCACTACTGGAGATTATATTTCAATGAGCTATGACTCAATTCCATGTATGTTTATGGGCATTTTACAAGTGGGGTAGTTGTTTCAAGAAGGACAAGTAAAGTTGCATGCAGCTCATTTTCTGGATAAATGGACTCATTTCTTGCTTATGGCCCATGATTGTTAGGGGGATAGTGTAAAAGCCTGTGGTGATGTTAAATTGGGCAGAAAGAGCACATCAGGTTCCTTGTTAGTAACTGGATTATGCTTAGTGGTGCCTGTAAGCCTTCCCTATTTTTCATTTGGATAGCATAATTATTTTTGCACATCATTAATAATACTGCAGAATAAATGTAAAATGAAAACTGGACACTGAGTTATATATCATTTTTGACATTTGTTCCACAGACTTTAGATTTAGATTTCATTACAGTAATTTCAGTTACCATAATTTGGTTTTTCTATTCCTCCTATGGAACTGTGGGATAAAGCACTGGACTGCAAGGTCGTTTTGAACCACAAGTTCGGTGGTTCAAATTCACCAGCCGCTTCTTGGAAACCCTATACAAACAAGATCAGTATGAGTTGGCACTGAATTGATGGCATTTAACAGCAACAACATTCCTCCTATTGATCATCTCTCTGTTTCTTTCCTAAAGGGGTATGACAGTTTTAGATTTAACAGCTCTTTTATAAAGTAGCATTGTTATTCTTAAGTACTGTCCAGTGCGATCTGACTCATAGCAACTTGAATACGGTTACCAAACATCAAGAAGTGTCTGGTAAGCTTAAACTACCAAGCTTGCCATTCAAACTGACCTTGCAGTTCGGTGCATTAACCCACAGCACCACACCAGGACTCTTCAAAGTAGCATGTTGTTGTTGTTGTTAACTGCTGTTGAGTCGATTCCAACCCCTAGCAATCCTGTATAGGGTTTCCAAGGAGGAGCTGCTGAGCTTGAACTGCCGACCTTGCAGTTCAAATGGCTTTATGGTCTGATGCATTTAAAGTACCATAGTCTTCATAAAATCTTGAAGTGATCATTTTGCTCTTACTTCTTATGAGATTTTGACCAAACATACAGATTTTTAGATTAAGTATGACTACGTTGCTCAGTCATTTCATAAAAATTGTTACAAATACAAAACACAAATGTGTATGCACATATTCACCAATATCAGCTATGCTTCCAGATATTGCTACTCCTTTTAAACTACTTCTGTTACTTCTTAAAATTTATCATCAAATTGAAATTTGTCACTAGTTCTGACAAATCTTAATATTTGTCAATACAGACAAACATTCAAGAAATCCAACCTGTACTCATTTTAGTGAAAATGAGGTTTTCTTTATTTGATTTTGCAAATCAAGCACCCAACCCAGCAGACATAGGCAGACACTATGTGATGCATGGCCAGCTCAAAAAGAGTTCTATTCCCATTTTCTGTCCCACCAGTTCCACAGTCTAGCCCAAAGGTCACCATGGTCTTAATGACTGCATTCTTATTTAAAGTTCGTAGTCCTAGAACAGATTTCTTACCCCCTCTTCTGAACATGGTATATTCATCTCTCCAAGCTTTCCCCATACTTTGATTTACACCACACCAAAATGACAATTTTGCCTTTCTCCAGGGAATCTGTTGAACTGCAAGGTTGGTGGTTCAAACTCACCAACCACTTCTCAGAAGCCCTATACAGGGTCACTATGAGTCAGAACTGACTTGATTATACTTAAAAACAACACAGGACTCAAAATGCATTCCTTTTCAATGTTCTTTTGAGTTTGGGTAACAAAAACAAGTCTGAAATTAACTGGTCCAGCAGATGCCCATGTTGTTGTTGTTGGTAAGTGCCATCGAGGTAGTTCCAACTCATAGTGACCCTGTATAGGGTTTCCAAGGAGCTGCTGGTAGGTTTGAACTGCCTACCTTGTGGTTCTCAGTCCAGTGCTGATCCTACAGCACCAGACCAGGAGCCCATAGAAGCCAGTATTTTGATTAGATATTACTTTAAGGCACTCTAATGAAGTCCTGGTGTGGCACTGTGGATTAATGCGCCAGACTGCAAAGCCATTTGAATTGCAATGTCGGTTCAAGCTCACCAGCTGTTCATCGGAAACCCTATACAGGGTCGCTATGGATCTGGACCAACTCGACGACACTTAACATCAACAATTAGACTAACACAAGTGTATCAATGAAAGAACTTGTCTGTAACCCTCCACTAATTGTAGTGACAGATTTAAACACATAATAACAAGCATGAAAAAGATCTCAGAAATGTATTTTAAATGTTCTATAATACAGGGTCGCTATAAGTCGGAACAAACTGGCAACACTTAAAAACAAAATAACACAATTACTCAGGAATTCCACAAGGGGACATTTGACGTCATGTGTTGTGGGTTAATGCGCTGGACTGCAAAGTGGGTTTGAACTGCAAGGTTAGTGGGTCAAACTCACCAGCTGCTCCTCCGAAACCCTATTAGGGTCACTATGGATCAGAATCGACTCGACAGCACTTAACAACAGCAAAGCTTGGTGGTACAAAAGATTAATGCACTCCGCAGCTAACCAAAATTTTGGACACCCAGAGTCACTACTTCTGAAAAATCAGCTACTGAAAACTTTATGTTTCCACGAATCCGAATCAACTTCACAGCAGCTGTCGTCTTCTTCTTTTTTTTTTGCCCCCCTGGTTATCCTTTCTCATTTTTTCAGTCTAAGAAAAGAGAGCAGTTGCATCAATTATGCCGATAAATTTTGCCGAGTTTTGTTTTTATGTAAATTTGTAGCTGATGTAGTACATTGGAGGGTCGTGGTGTGGCTCTGTAGGATAAATTAACCCCAAGGTCAACTTTAAAACCCACCAGCCACTCCTTGGAAACCCTATACAGGGTCAATATCAGTCAACACCGACTTGCCAGCACTTAACATTGACAACAACATGCTACTTTGGATCACCTTTGTTATAGGCATTAAAAATATGCTGGTGCTGGTGATGTGCCGTGGAGTCGGTTCCGACTCATAGTGACCCTGTACAGGGTTTCCGAGGCTGTAAATCTTTACGGGAGCAGAAAGCCTCATTGTTCTCCCGCGGAACAGCTGGTAGTTTCGAACTGCTGACTTTGCGGTTCGCAGCCCGATTCGTAACCATAATGCTACCGTATACTGAAAATCTGAATTAGTGGTGACTAGAAAACTGTTGTTTTTAACATTCCACCATTCTGCCTTATTCAGGTACTCCTCCAGTGTCATTTTAAGTATAATGACATTGTGGAAATTTTATCCAGATGTAGGTTCAAGCATTTAATTAGGCTGTGTGTCTACGGACAAGAGATTGGCTTGCAAAGTGTGCCCTTTGGATATTTAAATGATTGTTGGCTTGCAAAGTGTGCCCTTTGGATATTTAAATGAATATGTATTTTCTGTTTTGTTTGTGTACATTGAAATAAAAAGTGATAGAGGTTAAATACTATTGATCGATGGTAGATGGAGGGGATTGTAATCATTGCAATAAAACAAAATATGACTCATTGAATATAAAACTGATGATCTACCCTGTAAACTTTCAGTCAATTCACAATAAAAACTAAAATAGAAAAGGAGGGTGAGAATGGTGATACAAGTCAAAGAATGTACCCAACAACATGAAAATAGCTGTACATGTAGGAACTGTTGGCTTGGTGTCTATTTTGCTGTGTAATTTCTCAACAGAAACAACAACAAATAAATCATACACATTAACAAACAAACAAGCATCTAGTTATATATGTTTATGAGGAAGTTAAGATCTCTATGGCTTTTTTCCAATCATGTACAATATCTTGGAATTAAAACTAATGGGAAATCATGGGTTAGATATGGTACATGAAGGAAAAAGAGGAAAGAACACACAGAGTTAATGTAGGGAAAAAACAGAAATCCAGGTCCCCAAGAGCCTAATCCAATGTTTTCTAGTACTACCATATCTTTTAGTTAGGACTCTGCAACAGTCAGATTATGCTTAGTTTCCCTCATTGATGATATTTCAATGAGAAGTAAGTAGTTTATTGTTTTGTTTAAAGAAGTCTTCCTTGAGACTGTACAAGAGTAAAATCTTGCTGTAGAAAATGTTTTCAAGTGCAACAAATTATGTTCCTTCCCTTCTTATTTCAAGACAGCCTACTTCACAGGCAAGATAATTAAACCCCCATGATTCAGAAGCAAATTATTACCTCCTCAAGACCTATAGGAATACATAGCAATACAGAGATAATGGTTAATCAATTTGAACATTATACTGTTTCTTTAGTTTCCTTTGTTATACTTATAAAAGATACCTGTTTTGATTATGTATTTAGATTTTGATCTTGCTCGATTTTAAACTGTCACATTATCTACCAGACCTTTGAAGAATCTATCAATAATGGTAGTTCTTTATTAAAACCCGTAATTATATTTTGGTAGGTTATGTACAAACAAAACTGTCTTTTAAGAAAAAAGGGTTTTGAAAAACAAGATAATTTTTGTGCTAACAGTGACCTTTCTCCACAGCAACAACTGTATATTGGTTCGACTGCTGGGGTAACCCAACTTCCTTTACACAGATGTGATATTTATGGGAAAGCCTGTGCCGAGTGCTGCCTCGCCAGGGACCCGTACTGTGCCTGGGACGGGTCTTCATGTTCTCGCTATTTTCCTACTGCAAAGAGGTAAGAGAAATCTGAAAAATAAACAAAAGGTGTTTGGCCTTACCCATTAGCTGATTTCACTTTGGAGCAGCTTTCTTCAATTAAGTTTATTGTCTTTTGCTAATGCGTAAACGGTTTAAAGAGTATTTAGTTCGTTTTTGTATCTTTAAATAATCAAAACAAGCGATAAGTGTATACAGGTAAGATTAGTACTAAATATAATGTAATGAGTAGTTTTAATAAATGACAAAGGGAAACCTAAAGCAACACAATCATATTCCTGAATATTTATACTTAGAAATATAAGAGAAAATTTACAAGAGAAAATTTCATTTTCTGCAAGAGGAAAATTAGGGTCAAAGTGAAAGAGAAAGGAACCAACGGACTTTAGACGGGGTCTCATGCCTTTTGACCTTTAGTTCAAACACACTCGTTTTATTCTATCATATTTAAAAATTTTTTAAAGGTAACTTATGTTCCAGAGAGGGTCCTAATGTGGCACTGTAAGATAAGCACTGGACTGCTAACCACAAGGTCAGTGATTCAAACTCACTAGCCACTCCTCAGAAACCCTATACAGGTTCACAGTGAGTCAGAACTGTCTTGACAGCGCTGAAAAAACAGTAAACTATCTCTGAATGAATGAAAAATGCTTGCACAAGTCTTTACCTCTACAGTCTTAGTACACAGGAACCCAGTTATCAAATGAATTCTTTACAGTTTTGAAAATTTCATGTTTTCCTATGGGATACATGTAATGTTGATCAACTAAGATACATCATAAAATGCATCTTTATTTGACCAAAGGTAATGCAAATTATTATAGTATCATAGTACAGCTTACAATTGTAGCAGTTACACTTGAAATATAAAACAATGTACAATTATCTACCTATTATGAATACATGCATGCATGTACATAGGTTGCAAGTATATTTTTAATAACACCTAAAGGTATTTGTAAATATGTTTGAAAAGAAATTGCTAAATACACCATAAAAGTTATCTAGAACAATGCTATTTTTAGATAAAATGTAACTGTAATATATTTGTACTTGATTGACATTAGGAATGGATATTTGATCATTTAATATCATATTATACCCAGGAAATGCTTTCATACAATACTCCTACAGAGAGCTCCTACACAGATTCTGAAAGGAATACTTAAATTTGGTTTACTTTTGCTTTAAAAAATAACATTCTTCATTTAAAACAAAACAAAAGTATCACAACAAAATCTCTACTGTTCATTGATAACTGCCTTCTCTGTTGCCATCTACCAAGTTAAAATTTGAGCAATATGATGAGTATAATATATTGTTAATGTGAGTCTCTACACAAATGACATGTATATCAACCTATTTGAAACATGGGAGAAAATCAGTTATCAAGATACTGCGTTTTCATGCTCTTTATTATGAAGTACTTTTAAAGGAGCCATAAATATTAATATTTCATAGTTGGTAAGGTGTGTTCCATACCATTCAGATGATTTAAAATATTTGGAAAGGTATATTAGGTAAAAAAAAAAAAAAAAAGGTCCTACTGTGTACTTAAACCTTTTGATTGCATATTTTGGATAAAATTTATTATATTTAACTATATTGTGAAATCATTTGTTGTTGTTGTTGTTAAGTGCCGTCGAGTCGGTTCCGACCCATAGCGACCCTGTACAGGGTTTC